GTACCTGTGTTGAAAATCAGTTGACTATAACTGTGAGGTTTATTCCTGGACTGTCAATTCAGTCCCACTCATTCTGTTCCATCGATCCATATGTTTGTTCTTATGCCGGTAGCACAGGGTCTTGATTTTTAGTTTTGTGTTCCTTGTGGTTTTTTTCTTTATAAATTAAGTATTTCATTGCTCATATATAGAAATTCATTCAACTTTTGTTCATTGATCTTTTATCTAACCATCTCTTATTTTTTTTTTTACATCTTTATTGGAGTATAATTGCTCTACAATGGTGTTAACCATCTCTTATTAATTATAACTATTTTCCATAGATTATTTTGGGTTTCCCTTGTAGGTGATCATTATCTGTGAATTATGACAGATTTGTTTCTTATTTTGCAATCTTTATTATTTTTTAAAATTTATTTTATTTTGTTATCACACTGCCTGGAACTTTCAGAACCATGGTGAATAAAAGCCCTCAACAACAGAGATCTTTGTCTTAGTCTTGGTTTTAAAGGAAATGCATGTAACATTTCACGATTAAGTGTAAAGTTTGCTGTGGGCTTTCCATGGATATTCTTTCTCAGTCTAAAAATATTCTTTTCTCTTCCTATTTGGCTTGGAGTTTTTATTCCTTAATGGAGGTCGAATGTTTTAAAATACTTTTTCTGTATCTATTGAGATGATCATTTTTTCCTTTAACTGTTAAGATAGTGGATTTTACTGGTCTGTTTTCTAACATTAACTCAGTATTTCATTCCTGCAGTGAATTCAGCTTGGTCTTAATATATAATCTTTTTTGGTGTGTTAGCAGGATTCTATTTGCTTTTATTCAGGCTCTTTGCATCTGTGATCATGCATGAGTTTGTCATTTTTCCTCTCTCTTACTGTTCTTGATTGGTTTGTGATATACCAAGGTGTTATGCTGACTTCATAAAATGAGTTGAGGAATCTATCCTCTGTTCTCTAGAATAGTTTGTGTGAGATTGAAAATATCCATTCTTTGAATGTTCAACTTTTAGCTGATATTTTACAATGATAAGTAAAGAGACTGTTTAACCTACAGGTATGGGATATATTTCTGACTCTGTGAAGTAAGGCTGCAAGAGGGGGTATTTGACTCATCGCATTTTAGCAGCTTGTTATTACTGTACTGTTAGCTAATCATAAGGTTACAGTGTAGCTGTAAGTTATTCATTTGATTCTAGCATAGAGTAATACAGTTGTTTTTACACAGATGAGCCATTGTATTGAGAGTTAGGAAGTGTATCTCATTTTGTGAATGCTTTTACCTTTTTTCCTACAATACAAACAGAAAGGCAATGTTTCCTGCATGTAGACTAATTAAATTTCTATTTATCTTACAGAAGTAATAGACCTTACTCATGATAACAAAGATGATCTTCAGGCCGCCATTGCTCTGAGTCTGCTGGAGTCCCCCAAAATTCAAGCTGATGGAAGAGATCTTAACAGGTTATTGATTTAATTTATAATCTTTGCTCTGCACATTAGTGTGTAGGTCAAAGGCAGTATCTCTGCGAAACAGCTCTGCCAGGCTTCTTTAATTGCACCTAAATGAAATTTCTTTTATGAGAAAATTTAAATTCACATATTCGCTTCCTTACTCTTTGGTTCACTTTTGAAGAAGCTAAACATGATAAGGGTCTTATTGCAGACTGTGGTCTTTGAGTTGAGTAGAAGCCTGCACGGTTTTGTAGTTCACATTTGCTAGTGGGGAAAAAACCGTCTAGGGCAAATATCTGATAACTATGTATTCTCTTTATTAACTTTGAGCCTTTGTAAACTTTGAATGTTTTGTTGTTGGCTATTGAAAATGAAAGTTATCAGTCAGCTCCCCTAGGACTAGGAGGATATATGTTTTGAATTGGTACCGATTTGGTGATTGTCTGGTATTGTTCAGATATCCAGTTCCAGTGGTGGCCCATCAGTTTCCAGACATGTTTATCCCCTCATACTGCCAAGTTGTTTCTTTCAGGGAAACTTAGGGCCGTGGTTTGTGTGCTAAGCAATTTCGAGGCTCTTAATCTTTAGCAGAGTGTCTCTCTTGCCTCTTTCAATGGCAAGGTCTGAGATAAGGCACTATTGTTGAAATGTAAAACTTTTAATATGGTAGCCATAAATAGTCTTGAGTCTCAACTCAGTTCCGTCAGGGCCCTTGTTAGTAATAATCTCTGTTATGGCAGGATTAACAACTCGATGTTTAAACCTTTTCACTTATGTTGCAACCTTATGGTTATTATATAGCCAGTGGTTACCCAGTAAAGAGTTTATCTGGCATTTTGAGTTACCTGTGAAAGCTTACCTACATCCTCCATATAGTATATTGTTGTTTAACTCTTTTCTTTTTTGATGTGTGATATGTTGGCACAATATAGGATGCACGAGGCAACCTCTGCAGAAACTAAACGCTCAAAGAGAAAACGCTGCGAAGTCTGGGGAGAAAATCCCAATCCCAGTGACTGGAGGCGAGTTGATGGTTGGCCCGTTGGGCTGAAAAATGTTGGCAATACGTGTTGGTTTAGTGCTGTTATTCAGGTATGGTATTAAGAGACAACTGTGTCTTCTGGAAACAATTTTGTAATTTATTAAACTGAAATGTGAGAAGCATAGCTTTAAAAAAAAAAGGAAACATAAATAAAACTGGAGGGTTTTCCCCATGGCATTGTGTTTTGGTTGCTTTCTTGTGTTTTGGACCTAGATGCTCTTGTGTCTAACTTGGTCAGTACTGAAAACAGAGTCTTCTGTGGTTATAAATAGGTTGAGGAGGTGTTTTGGTGAATGCTGTATTACAGCAGAGCAAGAGCTAATAAGGAGAAATCAGTCTTTGGGAGGCTATCATAAATGACCAGGCAGGAAGGAAATGATGGTGGCCTGGAATAGAGAAGTGGCATAAGCCATGGAAGGGAGGAGTCAAAGCATTCACGAGGTATTTAGGAGATCAGATCTATAGGATTTGATAAGCAACCGGGTAGGGATATGCGCAGGAGGGGCTGAGAAAGACTGCAAGGTTTCTAGCTTGAGGTACCAGGTGGACGATAGTGCCATTTAACACTGGAGGAGGAATAATTTGCGTGAGTGTTAAACGGGGGATTTCCGTTCGTTTTATACATGCTGAGTTTGAGGGTCCACGTGGAGATACCGTGTAGGCAGTTATCTCTGTGAATCTGTTGTTCAGTAAAAAGATCTGGGCTGCAGATATAGTTCTGGGAATCAGTAGCATGTAGATGGTGATAAAGCCAAGCTAGAGGATGAATTCCCCTGGGGAGCATGTTGCCTCTTAAACTTAACGTGGCTGCAGTGCAGCGCTTGATCCCGCCCTGCAAGCTTCTCCTTCACAGTACTTGACACCGACCCAGCTGCTTAGCCAAAAATGGAATCCTCCATTTCCACACATAAAATCCATGGGTTCCTTCAGCTTACTCTGTGCCTGGACTGTTTTAGCACTGGGGAAACAGCAGTGGATAAAACAAAGCCCTCACTCCCATGGAGTTTACTTGGAAAAGAGTGGGACCGACAGGAAACAAAATATATATCAGATGGCGATAAGTGCTATAAAGATGAATGAATGAGGGCAAGAGGGGCTAGAAAGGGTTCAGCTAGAGAGGGAAGGGGTGCTGTTTATATAGGGGGGTTACGTATGGCCTTTCTGCTAAGGTGGGCATCTGAGTAGAGGCCTGACTTAGGCGAGGGAATGAGCCATGTAGTTCCGTGAAGAATGTTTCATATAATTATATAGAGGACACTGCAGACAGGGAACAGCAAGTTCAGAGACTCAGGTCAGGAGCTGAGAAATAGGGAGAAGGCTGGAACTGGGTGACCGAGGAGGGGGAGCAGACGGCTGTGAGTGCAGGGAGGTGGTGGAGGCGGGGGTGGGGGAGCTTGGGGTCGTGGTGAGGGTTCAGGAATCATGTGAGGTGGGAAAGTATTGGAAGGTTTGGAGCAGACAAGTGCTGCGATCCTACTCCCAAGAGGCTCACTGGCCTCTGCATTGAGAATAGGATGTAGGAAGGTCCTGGGGAATGAGGGACACGAGTCAGTTCTTTGCTTTTGAGAGAGAGGGAGAGATTGAGATTGAGACCGAGACCCTTCCCTGGATTCACTTCCCTCCTGTGAGAGATGGTGAAAGGAGCGAGCCTTTGGAGGGGATGACTGAGAAAGGCTTCTGAGAAAGCCTGGGAGGACAGGACAGAGAGCAGGGCATGTGGGGAGGGCTTGGCCTCCGGCAGCAAGAGGGCAAGAGGGTAACAGGAGAGGACAAGGAGGAAATGATGACTGCCAATTAAAGTGGAAATAGTTCCTAGTAGTCGTTTTCTCCTCTGAAATAAGCAGCCATTTTTTGAGGCAGAGTGGAAGAGTGACAGAATCAGGTTTTAAAGGGAGTGAAAGTTTAAAATCGTTGTTGTAAACAGCGGGAAACCAGTTGGCTCCAGAATACAGTGGCAGGATTTCTGAAAATGTGAAGGTCTACTTGAGGTTGTAGACCTTAAACGTATAGTGGTATCCACGTGTCCTGTTTGATCGGAACTTTTTCTCTTAGCTGTTCTCCAAAACGCTGAAGTGGAAAATTAAATTCATTTAAGTTGGAGGATTTGCTGGGTATGATGAAAGGACAAAAGAGCAGTTTGAGGGACTTCCCTGGTGGCACAGCACAGTGGATAAGACTCTGCGCTCCCAAAGCAGGGGGTCCGGGTTCAATCCCTGGTCTGGGGAACTAGATCCCACATGCATGCTGCAACTAGGAGTTCGCATACCATAACTAAGGAGCCCGCATGCTGCAACTAAGACCTGGTGCAACCAAATAAATAAATACATAAATAAATAAAAACTAAGAGATTGTTTAAAAAAAAAAAAAGAGCAGTTTGAGAATTTAATGAAAGATGGGTAGAGACCACGGAATCAAAGCTGGGGAGAGGGAGAAATGAAGACAGGAAGGGAGGACAGGAAAGAGGTCTGTTTGCTTGGGTTCCTGATGACGTCAATGCACAGGTGTCCTGTGGGTCATTGAACAAATGAGCCAGAAGACAGGTTATGGTTCAAGAGGAGGTTTTTCTGAATTTGTGATCTGAGAAGTGGCAGTGTTTCCGGTATTGACATATCCTGGGTATGTAGAGATGGAGTGGAGGAATAGGTCATGAGACGTAAGATGCTCATGGGAGCTGGGAGGTCCCTCGGCTGAACAAAAGTACCTGTGTTCCCTCAGAAAATGTGAATTGGACTCCTGCTGTGTGCCTAGCACTGTTCTAAGCCCTTGAGATATAGGAGTGAACCAAACCAAGACAGAGCCTTGCCCTTAGGGATTTAGATTCTTGTGAGGCAAGACAGACGAGGAACGATAAATAGAAAATAAATAGTTGAAATAGGAATCAATAAATAGTTGAAAAACTAACTAGTTAACTACATAGATGTTTATATAGTATGTTAAACTCTGGTCAGTGTGATAGAAAAGAGAGCAGGGTAAGGGAGATTGGAATTGCCGCAGGAGGGACGGGAGCAGGTTCCAACATAAACTACGATGTTAGGTTAGGCCACGTGAGGGGATGAGATTGGAGCAGATGCCCGGGATGCAGCAGGCGAGGGAGTGAGCCAGGCAACTGTCGGGGGAGAACATTCCATGTAGAAGGGGAAGCACCAAACAATGGCCACAAGGTGGGAGTGAGCTTGGCATGTTCACAGGACGTCAGAGTCCCGAGTGGCTGGAATGCTAGGAGTGGAGGCAAGGATCACTGGAGGCGGGGTTGGAGAGGTAACTTGTCTTTTGCTCTGAGTGAGATGGGGAGTCATGAGGGTTCTGAGCAGAGGAGTAATGGACTCTGGCTCGAGTTTTAAAAGGCTCCCTCTGGCCACTGTGAGGAGAGCAGAATGGAGGGGGCGCGGATACAAGTGGAGAGACCTATGAAGGCGGCCGCTGCAGTCATCACTGAGAGGCCGTGCTGCCCTGGACCAGGCTGGTAGCCGTGGAAATAGAGAAGAGGTTGGAATCTTGATTTATTCCCAAGGCAGAGCTGACCGGATGTCCTGTGGATTGGGTACTGACCAAAGTCACCTAGTAAGGATGCCAGACTTGGGATGGCAGAGCTCTCACCATATGACAGTCTTCAATGAATCAGGTGCTTTATTTTGGTTACATTAGAAAGATAGTTAGAAGGAGCTGTGTGGAGAGTGGGCTGGTACAGAGGAGGTTCTAGAGGCAGGGAGACGATGTGCCGTGATCCAGGTGAGCAGTGATGGGAGTTTGATTAGAGCAGGTGATAGGGACTGATAGAGAGGAGGTGGTTTATGAATAAAATAGCACCCCAGAGGCAGAGTGCAAGGGACTTCTTACTGGATGTAAATGGTTGATAAAGGGAAAGGAGTCATCGATTATTCTGAAGTTCTAAACTTTGATGCCTGGAGGAGGAGGATGTAATTAGTGATACAGAGACTACAGGAGAAGAAGCAGATGTTGGAGGATTGAGTTGATATTGGTTTGGGAAATGAGTAACATCAGCTCACACTGTTGTAGTTTTTAAGAATAATGGCATCTTTGGGAAAAGCCAGATTTTGGTGAAGGTGAGGAGGTAGAGTGAAGGGACTTGAGAACGTAAAGCCATTTCTCTCAAGGTAGAACAGAAGTGCTGGAACATGTTACGGGATAGTCAGCCGAGTAGGGGTGAAACCAGGAGGAATGGAGATGTGCTAGGTAGACATGGGAGGTGGGAAGGGAAGAGACGGGGCTGCTTGTAGAGCTGAGCATCCCAGTCCCGGCTCCAGATAGAACTTTGGTATCACATCCTAACCTGACTTAAGTTCCCAGTCCAGGTGTACACTCCTCCTATTGGCTGAATCCCAGTAGAGCTTGTCGTGGAGTGGGGGAAGTCGGAGGCTTATAGTCCACCCAGGATGCTGCTTCAAGAGTTCCAGTCTGTGGGCTGGAGGGCTTTTCATCTGAGGATTATGTTATGATGAGGAGTTATATTCATACAAGAGTTTGTTTTTGTTTTTTGCAGTATGCGGGCCTCTCACTGCTGTGGCCTCTCCCGTTGCTGAGCACAGGCTCCGGACGCGCGGGCTCAGCGGCCATGGCTCACGGGCCCAGCCGCTCCGCGGCATGTGGGATCCTCCCGGACCGGGGCACAAACCCATGTCCCCTGCATCGGCAGGCGGACTCTCAACCACTGTGCCACCAGGGAAGCCCATACAAGAGATTTTTTAAAACATTAACTTTCAAAAGATATTCATAGTTGGAAAAATGTATGATTTACAAACAATAAAAAGGAATTCCTTTCCCCAATTCTGCCAGCCAGAGATATCTGTTAAAATTTCTTAAAATACAGTATTTAAGGCAAAGAGTGGCGAATAGTAAAGCTTTAGAAAGAAATGTTTCAAATCCCTGTACTATTAAGTCCCCATTGTACCCATCGCCCGTCATACCACCCCCTTTACACAGATACAACCACAGGTGTATGTAATCCTAAACAGTGTATCATGTTGTTTTATATGATTAAACTTCTTATGAACAATATAATACTCTATCTTTCTACACCTTTTTCTCACACAGAATGTTTCTGAGCTACATCTATGTTGATACATGTAGCTCTTGATCATTCATTTTTACCGTGTAGTTGTCCTTTTATGAAAACATTGTTTCTACAGTATTATTTTAATGAGTATATAATAATCTGTTATACAGATGTACTATAGTTTATTTAATCTTTTTCTGCTAGCCATTAGTTTTTTTCTAGTTTTTTCCTATAAAGGATTAACATTCTTCTGGCGAAATTTTTATGTGTAGCCATTACTGTTTCCTTAGACATAGTAGAATTACTAGGTTGACAGTTATACATACTTTTAAGGTAAAAAATATTTTTTTGCTGCAGTTGTTTTGAAAGAAACGCTATTAATCCATTTCTTTATTTCAGTCTCTGTTTCAATTGCCTGAATTCCGAAGACTTGTCCTGAGCTATAGCCTACCACAGAACATACTTGAAAATTGTCCAAGTCACACGGTAAATTGGTGTCAAGGAATCTTCACTGTTGTTTAGTCCCATTCTTCCCAAAGGCCTTTTCATTTTGGGTAAAGCTGGTTACTGTGATGCTCTTTGGCTTGTGCAACATTTGTTTTCATTTCCAAATGGCTCTTTTTCTTTCTTTGTGACAAGAAATAATGTAAAGTTAAGCAGGAATAAAATTAGGAAAACAGTTCTAAGAAAGTGGCAGGTCACCCTGATGGCCTCAGCTTCTCCGCCTCTGGGTGGGAGATTTAGAAATCCCTGTCTGTTTGCGCCTTCTTCAGGCTCCTTTAGTCGCTTGCGCTGACGGCTGCAGAGTGGATGACCTGATGCTGGGAGGCCTGGGCCGTCTTAGAAGAGTCTTTAGTCCATTCTTGCCAAAGGATATAGCCTCCTGCTGAGATCTAACCCTTCCCAGGATTTCCCTTGGTGGTGCCTTTCCCAAAAGGAGGGATGGCAGCGGTTTTAGAAAATAAACACTTTTGCTTTCTGACATTATTCTCTCTCTGGCTTCTACGTAGATATTCTTGAGTTTAGGGCAGTCCCCTACACAGACCTTATCAGAGTACCTATAACAGTTTGAGACCTGATTCCAATCTAGAACTTTGTAAACATAAATTAGGGAGAGATTGTTGACCACGTTTTTCTTTATGTGTTCAAAGTTTCCAAATATGAGGTTATAAGGGTACACACATCGCTATCTTTCCTGCAGGAAAAGAGAAATATCGTGTTTATGCAGGAGCTTCAGTATTTGTTTGCCCTGATGATGGGATCAAATCGCAAGTTTGTAGACCCTTCAGCAGCCCTGGACCTCTTAAAGGGAGCATTCCGATCGCCTGAGGAGCAGCAGGTACAGGAAGCCCATAGTCCTCGTTCTTTCCCCCGACTCTGGAGTTTGCAACGATGCCTTGTTACTACTACTGTGATGTTGCCTTGTTTCAGCTGTGTAATAAGCTACGAACGTGACTATGCAGGACTCCGGGTGTCTGCTTTTGCCCTTTGTAATGCCTAAGGAACAAGTGAAAAACAAAGTGTGTGTATGTACGTGTTGTGTGGGGGAGGCTGGCTGTTTTAAAGGAAAGAAGAAAAAATAGTAGAAAGAATAGAATTTTCCAGGGGCTGTTGAAGTAGAAAGGAGGAGATTGGAAAATATCTCAGTGAATCATGGCAGAGGGTCACCGAGAAAAGGAAAGTCTGTCCTTTGTCTGCACCTTTGTCTTGGCATGGCCCAAATAGAAATCCTATTTTTACAACGATCTAAACCCGAGTTCAGTAGCTTTTCTGAGCAGTCTTTCTCTTCTAGACTCTAGTACGTTCCTTTCCCTGCCTCCTATTCAGATCAAAGCTATCACTATTAGAGCAGCTTCTTCATAAAATTACTTTTTTTCTCTATTTGTCTAAAGGTCCTGCAGTTCTACAAAATTCTCAAAACATTTCATAAAGGTTTCCTTTCTCCATTCAGATCTCATATTGTTCTAGAGGACTTCAGTCTGTTCTTTGGACCTTTTTTTAAAGGCCTAACTGGAAGATTTTGTTTGTTAGTTTGTTACAAATAGATGTGGCTAGAAGGGGTAGTGTTCCCATTTCCTCCTAATCAGAAATCGCCCAATGGGTCTTGTGTGTTGTCTGCAGCAGCTGGGTTCCAATGTTCCTTGTATCGTCACGATATTTGGACCTGAAAAAGAAATCCTTTGTAGTAATAGAATCTTAATCGTTGGTGGGATAAGGGCATATTTTCATTTCCCTAAGTATACTGTTGGGTCTAACTCATGCAATTTGTGCGTCTGTTACAGCAAGATGTGAGTGAATTCACACACAAGCTCCTGGATTGGCTAGAGGACGCATTCCAGCTAGCTGTTAATGTTAAGTGAGTGTTGAGGATTTGTTTGTACATCCTTCCTACACAGCGGGCCAGTGAGAATTATGATTTGGGGGGAAATTATTCTTCTCAAGTAGAAATTGCTGATTTTTACCAAACCCTGTGGGGTAACCACTCATATTTATCATTGTTTATCCCCCTTGCCTTTGGTTTTCCCCCTGTAGATAATCATATTAACCTGTAACTTTTTTCCTAAAAGGGTCATAACTATTAACTTTTTAAAAGTCATCACCTGTGCTGTAAAAGTATTGAAAGATACATATCAATCCTTGGTGTGAGAATGGAGGTATAATATGAATACATTGAATTTAATTATTTCAGTCACTGACAGAAGTAAAATTCAAAGCAAAGAATATAAATAGCCCTTGCCAAATACAGATGCAGAGATACTTGCTTCCTAAGTTTTTTTTTTAAACTCATAAAACAGCTTTCCAAATAGCATCTTACATAGTTAATTTAAGATAGGCTTATAGAAATAAGCTGTTTTCATTCCATCTCTATTGTGCCACCAGGAAAACATTTTCATATTCATTTGGAAAACTGCACAAGAGGGTTCATTCTTACTTTTATATGACTTCTATACCTTATATATTTCTGTCACTGGATATAGATGTATATATTGAATGTACACACACACATGTATTTGCATGTATGACTCCCCTATTAGACTTTCAGTTCTGTAAGGCCAGGGATCATGCCTGTTTTGCCTTTGTGTCTCCAGAATTTGGTACAGTGCTGGGTATATACTTGTTTAATGAGGGGTTTTTTTGTTTTTTTAATTTTCTTTAACATCTTTATTGGAGTATAATTGCTTTACAATGGTGTGTTAGTTTCTGCTTTATAACAAAGTGAATCAGCTATACATGTACATATATCCCTATATGTCCTCTCTCTTGCGTCTCCCTCCCACCCTCCCTATCCCACCCCTCTATGTGGTCACAAAGCACCGAGCTGATCTCCCTGTGCTATGCGGCTGCTTCCCGCTAGCTATCCATTTTGGTAGTATATATAAGTCCATGCCACTCTGTCACTTCGTCCCAGCTTACCCTTCCCCCTCCCCGTGTCCTCAAGTCCATTCTCTACATCTGCATCTTTATTCCTGTCCTGCCCCTAGATTCTTCAGAACCATTTTATTTTTTTCTTTAGATTCCATATATAATGTGTTACCATATGGTATTTGTTTTTCTCTTTCTGACTTGCTTCACTCTGTATGACAGACTCTAGGTCCATCCACCTCACTACAAATAACTCAATTTCATTTCTTTTTATGGGTGAGTAATATTCCATTGTATATATGTGTCACATCTTCTTTATCCATTCATCTGTCGACGGACGCTTAGGTTGCTTCCATGTCCTGGCTATTCAATGAGTTTTTGAACTGAACTAATCCGTTACTTATTTTAGAGCATACTTAGATCTTTGAGGGTTGATGAAAATGTATTATTTTTGTTTTTGAATGGTGATTTGGCTTAATGTATTGCTTATCTGATCCAAATGATACAGAATTGTTTCCTTGTTTTAAAAGCAGCAATCCCAGGAACAAATCTGAAAATCCAATGGTGCAGCTATTCTACGGTACTTTCCTCACTGAAGGGATTCATGAAGGTAAATTCTCTGCTCTAAATGTTAATTCTAGACTTGTGACCACATCGGTATTACTGTGAAATGGCTGTGAGAGTCAGACAAATGCAGGTTTGAATACTGGTTCAGCCTCTTAGTATGTGTGTGATCGTGGACAAATTACATGAGATCCTGGATCCTCAGTCTCTTCATCTGTAAAACGGGCACAGTGTTTGTCTCAGAGTTGCTATATTGAATTGTGTAATATTTGCACAGCCTAAATCTGGTATTAATGTCAGACACACGCTGATGTTAATCAGTTTTCTCTGTTGTTTTATCTAATCTCAAGGTTTCATTGAGTCAGGCTGCCAAAAGTGTGTCTACTCTAGGGGCTTATCTAAGCTGCGTGTTGGACACATGGCCAATCATTCTCCATCTAACACCTGTCTTCTTTTACCCCTCTGATAGCCTTTGTAAAACAGTCTAATCCAGGGACTTCCCTGGTGGTCCAGGGGTGAAGACTCTGTGCTTCCACTGCAGGGGGCATCGGTTCAATCCCTGGCCAGGGAACTAAGATCCTGCATGCCATGCCGTGTGGCCAAAAAAAAAAAAATCCAATCCACTGTCACTCCCCAAAAACAGCATTTCTTGATATCGTATAACTAGTCAAGTGTTCAAACGCCCAATTTGTTTTACAATTTCCTGTGTATATAAATATATAATTTTACATATGTAAAAATAAATACACTTCCCCATATGTATACTTTTTTACAGTTTGTTTTAATCAGGATGCAAATGTGGTTCATTTATGATTGGTCTTTTAAGTTCTTTTCAAAATCTGCAGACTGTCCCTTCCCTCCATTCTTTCTTCCTTGAAATACATTTTTTAAGAGATTAGGTTGTTTGTTCTCTTATGTTCTCTACAGTCTAAAATTTTGCTGCTTGCGTATCTGTGATATAGTTTAACATGTTCCTCTTTGCTCCTCTGTTTGTAACTTGATAGTTGGATCTAGAGTTTGACCAGATTCAGGTAAGGCTTTTTAATTAGTCAAGACTAATTCACAGGTGGTGGGACAGTCTTCGATCAGGAGGCATAGTTGGTTTCTTTCTTTTTGTGATGTTGGCAGTTGTTAAATGATCTATGCCTGGACCTGCTGGTTCATTAGAGGTAGCCATCCCGGCTAAGTATACTTGTAACCAGTTCTCAGCAAGTTGCTGAATTAAGAAGATACTGTCTCTCTGGTGCCAGGAAAAAAGCTTTCGATAGCAGTAGTGATGTCTTTAAAAAAAGCAATCTGTTTCTTTGCCTAGGGAAGCCCTTTTGTAACAATGAGACCTTCGGCCAGTATCCCCTTCAGGTAAATGGTTATCGCAACTTAGACGAATGTTTGGAAGGGGCCATGGTGGAGGGTGACATTGAGCTGCTTCCTTCTGATCATTCAGTGAAATATGGACAAGAGGTGAGTTGGATATTTTTATTTGCTTTGCCAAGACAAAGCCAGGACTGAGCTTTTGGGCAAACTGTTTTCACATCACATATTAAATAACTTTACACTAACAGGACTTGAACTAGTCTGAAGTCTCTCATGAGTTGCTAAGAGTTAGTGAGTCTTAGTGTTTGATGAATAAATTCTTGTATGAATTTGAGTTAATCGTATAAAGGTTGTATGCTGCTTCTGACGTTTTAAGTATGATCAAGTTTCTCTCTTTCTGTTGAAGCCTACCTGTACCTGAGTAGGGAGAACCACTGCCTCCATATTTTCGGAGGGTAAAAGTACAGTGATTAACTCCTATGGTATGCCATTTAGAATATTTTCCCTATTATAGTGTTTACTTTTCTCAGTTGTAAATTCTGCCTTTGCTTTAAAATTTTTTAAATGTAAGATTCATTTATTTATTTTTATGGGTTGGAAAGAAAGGGGGAATTACAGGGCAAGCAAGGGTAATTAATATCTCAAAGTTCCCGTTAAGAATTAGTTACATTGTAGCATAATTGCCAACACTACACAGCTTGGATTATTCTCCTTTCATCATACATTTTGAACAGAATTGTGCCTTATATGAGTCCAACTTAGTAATTACTTATAAGAGAAAGAAAATCTTTCTTGAATTAAATAGGGAGCCTGACTTGAGCCTTGTTAAAAGTGTATTGGCTGTAGAGCAGTGTTGCAACTGAGAGAGCTACTGCCTCCCTAGCTTTCCAAGGAAAGTATTAATTCCTGATTGGGAGGCATATCATCTGTGCCATCTGTGCAGAGCTGATGCTTGCTCTTACAAAAGGCAAGGAGTGTTCATTAGCGACTTAGACCTCTGGAGACCTCTATTCAAGAATGGGACCTCTCTATTAAAAAGAAAAAGAAAATTGTGCCTATTTAGGTATAGCTCTGAGGTGGCCAGGCAGGCTGTCTGGATTCACCTCATGCTGACAAGGGTATGTGGAGGGACTATAGCTATTTGCACCTTTGGTAAAGGGAACATTTTAAAGCTGTTCATACAGACCTCTGGCATACAGGTGAATTGAACAGAAATGCCTTTCCGGGTTTAGCTTTTTCCTCATCTACTATCAGTGACAGTTGAGATCTTCTTTATAATTCAGTGCTTTCTGTTCTTGAAACTCAAGGCAACATTATAGGTTGATTTGACTAAGTCCTTTGTGAGATCTGTAAATTCTTGGAATCCAGAGATTTTCTCAGAAACTTCAGAACTCATAATCATGAAGCTGTTTCAGGTTTCCTTTTTAGAAATAAAGGGGATTCAAGTTATGGTTAATAGACTGTAAATAAATAGTATATAGTATATGTACACATATTAATCTTTCTCGACAATTTCTAATTCTTTGGTTAGGCTAGCCATTTTCTCCAGGTTTTAAACCTCTTGAATACTGATGATGCAGTGAATGATGTGTAGATTCTTGGTGAAGTTCACATATTTAAGGGTTGTCATTTCTGAGGATGATAGTTGAGTTAAAATGTTGCTCACTGGCTTGTAAATTTGGAGTCTTGAGAAGTATTTAACCATATTCTCTAAGAAGGCATGATTCTAAGTGGGCATTTTACTGTTTGGAATAAAAAAAAAAAAAAAAAAAAAACAACTCTAGTATGAGTTGGATTACCAAAGGAAGAAAGTCTGGTGAGGGATAGTTTAAATCTGGCTATTGCTATTTCCTAAAATTAACTTTTCTCTCCCGCATTTCTACTCCTGACGTAGCGTTGGTTTACAAAACTACCTCCAGTGTTGACCTTTGAACTCTCAAGATTTGAGTTCAATCAGTCCCTTGGTCAGCCAGAGAAAATTCACAATAAGCTGGAATTTCCTCAGATCATTTATATGGACAGGTGAGTTCTGTGGTTGATTGTCTTCTTAATGTGTTATAGCAGTAGAAGTGAGCATATACTAAGTGTATTGTACATAGGACTCACCTGGAACTCTTGATAATATACATATTTGGATTCAATGGATCTAGGTTGCGACCTAAGAGTTTGCATTTCTAAGAAGCTCTCAGGGCAATGCTGTTTGATGCTTCTGATCTCTGGACCACAATTTGAGTAGCTAGGCTTCCAGTGAAAGCCCTGCTGTCTGGTGAACAGTATCTGGAGTAGCTGCTGTGTATTTCTTTCTCATTTAATACTATTTGTATTCCTGAAAAAAGAAAAAAATCCTAGACAGACTTACATTATAGAATTTTAATCTTCTTAAAGTCTGTTTTATTGACATATAGTTTACATACAAAGAAGTGTTACCATTCTTAGGTGTACAGCTGATGAATTTCAACGAATGTATACAGCCGAGTAATACCACCATCATCCGGAAGGTGATATAGATATAGAACATTTCCATCACCCGGAAGGTTCCCTCGTGCCCCTTTACAGTCAGTCCCTTCCCTCCACCTTCAGGCAACCACTTGTTTTCCGGTCCTGTACTTTTGTCATTTTTAGAATGTCATAATTAGGGACATTAATATTCAGTATGAGCCCTCTTGTGGCCGTCATCTTTCACTTAGAATAATGTATTTGGAATTCATCCATGTTGTTGCATATATCAGTGATTTCTTTTTTAGTGTTATTGAGTACTATTACATTGTATGGAGGTACCACAATATTTTTTCCATCAACTAGTTGATGGACATTTCAGATGTATCCAGTTTTAGGCTATTATGAATAAAGCTGCTGTGAACTTTCACATAAAAGTCTTGGTGTGGTTTTTAGTGCTTCTGGGTAAAATACTTGGGAGTGAGATTGCTGTTGTATGAAAAGTATATTTTTAACTTTATAAGAAATTTCCAAACTGTTTTCTAAAGTGGCTGTACAGTTTTGCGTTCCTGTCAGCAGTGTATGAGAGCTACATTTGCTCCAAATCAACAGTACTTGGAATTATCGGTCTTTTAAGTTTTAGCCATTCTCATGGGTTTGTAGGAGTATTTTATTTTTCTTTTGATTTATAGTTCCCTGATAACTAACAATGTTGACCATATTTTCATGTGCTTAATTAATGGTCATTTGTATATTTTCTTAGGTGAAGAGTCTGTTCATATCTTTTGTCCACTTTTTAATTTGGTTGGTTGTGTTCATACTGAGTTGTAAGAGTTCTTTATATATTTTAGATACAAATCCAAATATTTTCTAACTCTACTTGTCTCTTCCATTTCTTTACTGGTATTTTTAGAAGAGTAGGGGTTTTGGGTTTTGATGAAGTCTAATGTATCAAGTGCCCTTTTATAGTTTGTGTTTTTTGTGTTCTAATTAAGAAATCTGCCAACCCAAGGTCACAAAGGTTTTCTTCAATATTTTTCTAGAAATTTTGTAATTTTAACTCTTAAGTTTATGTCTATGACCCATTTAGAGTTTATTTTCATATATGGTATGAGGTAGGGGGATTTTTTTTGCAGGGTGGGTAAGGCAGCATGTGGATGTCCAATTATTCCAGCATCATTTGCTGAAAAGACTCTCTTTTCCCCCATTGAATTACCTTGGTACTTTTTTCAAAAATTAGTTGAACTTGTATTTGTAGGCCTTTCTCTGGAGGTTTTATTCTGTCTATTGTATAATCTTATGCCAGTGCTACATTTTCTTGACTACTGTGATTTTTTTTTTTAACATCTTTATTGGAGTATAATTGCTTTACAATGGTGTGTTAGTTTCTGCTTTATAACAAAGTGAATCAGTTATACATATACATATGTTCCCAGATCTCTTCCCTCTTGCATCTCCCTCCCTCCCACCCTCCCTATTCCACCCCTCTAGGTGGTCACAAACCACCTGACTACTGTGATTTTATTGTAAATCTTGACATCAGATAGTGTAAACCTCCCACTTTGCTATTCTTTTAAAAGAATTGTTTGGGCTGTTCTGATCCATTTCTATCTAAATATTAGAAGCAGCTTGTCAAAACCCCTAATAGCTATTAGGATTTTGATTGGGACTGTGTTGAACCTATAGATCAGTTTGGGGAAATTGACATCTTAACAATTTTTAGTCCTTTAATCTATGAATATGGTATAGCTCCATTTACTTGAGTCTTTGCTAATTTCTCTCAACAGTGATTTATACTTTTTTGTGTACAGTTCTTGAACATACCTGATTGTTTATCCCTAAATAATTATTGCTTTTGATGTTATTATAAGGCTTTATAAAAAACTTTACTTTTTGTTTGTTCTTTACAAGTATACAGAAATGCAATAGATTTTTTTCCTCTTTCTTTTTATTTTTATTTATTTATTTTTTTTTTTTTGCGGTACGCGGGCCTCTCACCCCTGTGGCCTCTCCCGTCGCGGAGCACAGGCTCCGGACGCGCAGGCTCAGCGGCCATGGCTCATGGGCCCCGCCGCCCCCCTTATTTTTATTTATTTATTTTTTTTTTTTTGCGGTACGCGGGCCTCTCACCCCTGTGGCCTCTCCCGTCGCGGAGCACAGGCTCCGGACGCGCAGGCTCAGCGGCCATGGCTCATGGGCCCAGCCACTCCGTGGCATGCGGGATCCCCCCGGACCGGGGCACGAACCCGTGTCCGCCTCATCGGCAGGCGGACTCCCAACCACTGCGCCACCAGGGAAGCCCCTCCTCTTTCTTTTTAAATTGACTTTGCATCTTTTGACCTTACTAAGAAATTCACTTACTAGTTCTGATGCATTTTTGTCGATTCCTTGAGATTTCCTATGTAGATGATCATGTTATCTGCAACTAAAGGCAGCTTTACTTCTTCCTTTTCTATCTGTATGACTTTTACTTCTTCTTTTTACCTTACTGCACTGGCTATGCCTCCAGTAAAACACTGAATAGAAGAGGCAAGAGTGGGCATTCTTGGATTGTTCCTGATACTAGGGGAAAGCTTTCAGTCTTTCACCATTAAATATGATGTTAGCTCTGTGTTTTCATAGATATCCTTTGTCTGATTAAGGCAGTTTCCTTGTATCCCAAGTTTGCTGCAACTTTGTGTCATTAATGTTTTTAAATATAAATTGTGTTTGTGGGATTATTAATTGCTTAGGTACATGTACAGGAGCAAAGAGCTTGTTCGAAGTAAAAGAGAGTGTATTCGAAAGTTGAAAGAGGAAATAAAAGTTCTGCAGCAAAAACTGGAAAGGTAAGTCATAGACACCTTTGTACTTAGAAATGTGAAAGGTAGAGTAGGATATTAAAATCGGATAATTTGCTTTTATCTAAAAATTCAGAGTTTTAAGTATTAACTAGTGTTATTTTATAAAATAGATAAGAAAAATGTGTTTCTAAGTGTGAAACTGTCTTTAAGATGTGCAATAGTAGTCCCAGGGAACATTAGTGACCCAAGTCACACAATTGGCAGTGTACTGAAGAGCACCCAAGTTCTGATTTCACAGCTCTTTACTTTTTCTTCTCTCCTTGCCATCTTTTTCACAAACACAGGAGAGGTGACTGCCACAAAACTGTAATCGCTTTGTCTTGGGAAAGCAGTTTTGAGGTGCCTGGGGAAGGTAAAACAATGGTGTTCTCTCTAGAGTGGTGCTGACTCAAACTGAAGGCTTGTATTTGTGACACATACCAAGTCCTTTCTCCTGTGGAGGGATCTTTCCCTTTTTGTTCATCTGTTCTGCAAGGACTGTTTCTGTGGGCTCGCCACGTGACTTCCTAAGGAGGAGTCATTGTCATTTCTCTCTAGTAGGAGAGAGCCCATTGATTTAATGTGCAGGAAGGAAATCATAAGTACACTGTCAGTGGCTTTTCCCCCTTTATCTACTTAGCATTTTTGCTGCTACCACCCCACCTCTACCCACTTCATTGCTAGCTCAGTAATTTCCCTGACGGGCAGAACCTTCCATACCAGCCCGAGAAAGACCCTGTACCTATAGGTGCCCCTCTCCAGCTCCCTCTCTCTCACTTAGGAGGAACTTATCCAAGAGGTATTATGATCCATCATCTAGTTGTCTAAATATAGACTTAAGCTGGGGATTGATTCCTCACATACTCCTGGAAGTGACTTATGGGACTTTATACCTGTGGCAATATTTTACTTTTAAGATTTTAGTGATACTTTGTAAGATTGGAAAGTTCTGTGTTTATACAACCAGATATACATGATGCATTATAGCTCAAAAATGCTCAACTTTCCAGTAACCAGCAAGGCATTCTGGCTTATTTAGATTTTAAAATAGTGTACAGGGGCATTTTCTATAGTATGATATTACTTTCTTTTTAAAATAAAGTGGCTTTTAAAATTTCAGATAATTTTACTTGGGTAATTTTTTTAAAACTTGCTTGTCTGTGTGTGACATAATCCTGGGAATCTATACAAGACACTGTTAACGGATACCATTAGGTGGTAGAAGTGAGATGGAGGTGGATGGCTTTTGTGGTTTGTTTTACACTTTTTTGTATTTGTTTTCTTACCAGGTGCATATATTACTTTTATTATTTAAAAAAATAAAAACGTTCACCATTTCTTCTATAAGGTACTCTAATACTAAAAATAAGATTTCTTGTGTACAGTGTAGACATCTTTTTTGAAACTACTTTTGCTCTGATTCTACTAAATTAATACAAGTGCTGCATTGTATGAAGTCGTTGGTCTAAAGGAATTCAGTAGAAGAACAGAAAAATGATTGTCATAAAACTGAAGATAAGTTTCTTAGAGAAATTTTTTCCTGAAATTTTGTATAAGGATCACGTTAAAATACAGCAAACCTGAGAAGAGTTACAGATGTAAAAGAATGACTTAAAATCTTATGACAGATTATCAGTGCTGCAGTGCCAGTAAGAAGATGTTGCCTTTGGTCCAAGCCAGTGCTGTATTAATAACTTCTTTTAACAAACACTGAAAGCTTAAGAAGACATGTTAACCATGTCTATGGGGTAGACAAGAGGTTTTAGTTCATGTACTGTAGGAGTTCAGAGAGGGGAGATCTTCCTTTGGCATTTGGGGGCATGGCATATGGAGGGGACACTTCATGGAGAAAGTAGATCTTGAAAGACCAGTTGAGTTTAGGTAAGCTAATAGCTGAAATTAAGCCAAGGAAATAGGAATGTAAGGAATGGAACAGTTCTTCAAAGTTCTTCTAGTTTTACAAATTTAATATCCTTTTCAGTGAAAGCTGTAACTCTCTGTGGCAGGCAGATCCACAGGAGAAATCATTCTGGTTCTCCTTTCAGTTAGAGTAGCTGAAGTGTCTTTGCTGCATACCCTCTAACGTGGTTGATTTTGAGTCGCATTATATATTTTTTTATTTCATAATGTCCTTTTTGATATAGAAACAGACAATTTTCCTTCTTCCTAGTTTTATGCCTGTTTCTTTTTTCACTTTCTTTAGAGAAATGTGAAGTGACTCTATCCTTTTATAAATGGAATCCCAGGATTATAGTTTACCTGTACCAATGAGTCAGCTTAATTATGTACCATTTAGACTGTCTTCTGCAGTGAGCTGTAGAATTCACTAAAGTAAATCTCTTTACTGAGTGTAGCATGTGCTAGTAATGGCAGAACATTGGGTATTATTAAAATAAATAATTAGTTGTTTTGGTTACATATCGAAGACATTTATTATTTCCTAATCCCAAAGAAATCTTCAATAATTGATTCCTGGCCTGTCCTGTTGAATGAGTATGTGAATAGTAGGGTACATAGGACTCGGCAGAAGAAAGATTTGCGTTTTCTTATCTCTGACCTTTGTCAATACCTGCTTCCCATTTCCAGATTTCTCTCTCATTTTTCCTAATTGCAGAGTACTTGATCTAAAGGGCAGCAGAGAAGAAACCGTTGGGTACTAGTTCACCAGCATTATTTTCAGATTTGAGTAATGATAATATATCTCTTTTGCTTTAAGAAACAGGATTTACTTTTATGACAAGAGCCTAAATGTGATACGAATCAAGAGGAAGCATCACTGGTGTGGCTTTGACTAGGAGCCCATTTTAAATGCCTTTTGCCAGGTGTAAAAATTTAGGTTATTGTCAGTTTTCACTTTTGTAGTTAGAGAACTTTTTGCTCTATAGATTAACGTATTAAATATTGTATGGCATTTTTGGAATAAGCCTTTCCATTGACTCTTCGGAAAATAACAGATCTTTTGTCAGCGAGCCTGAAAATACAAGGCAGCCTTGGCAGTAGAGCACCATTGTCTCTGCCTCCTAGGTATGTGAAGTACGGCTCGGGCCCGGCTCGGTTCCCACTCCCGGACATGTTGAAATATGTTATTGAATTTGCTAGTACAAAACCTGCCTCAGAAAACTCTGCATCTCAAAGTGATGCACGCATGACGTTACCACTTTCTTCTGAGCACTGCCCGGCTTCTGACCTGATACCCAAGGAAAGGTAATGCAAACAAGTTTTAAAAATAGTGTGTAATGGGTTTTTTGGTTTAATTTGAACTGTGCACCATCTTTCCACCTGATTAACACTCACCCTGTAAGAGCTCAAAGGCCGTGAGCTCTTTCTTTGTCTTAAAGGGAAGGATTTTGCCAACTGTCACTTGGGTGAATTTTTCATAATTCCCACCGGTGCCTTCGTCTTGCCCACGGGATAGTTGGGATTATTTCAGAGACGTTTTGAACTGTTTGGAATAGTGTTCATTCTCCAGCAGGCCCACTTTGCTTTGAGCTTGCTATAAGCTAGGTGCCACAAAAGGCCTTCCTCAGAGGAAACCTCAGCCCCTGATCTTCTAAAACATCTCATCTTCTCGTTTGCTGAAGAAGTGTGCATGACTAAGTAAGCATCACAAATAGAAACTCACAAATAGAAACTCACAAATAGAAACTCACAAATAATAGAAAATTAAGATGGAAAAGAACTGGCTCAAAATTGAAGAGGACAGCCTAGAGGGGTTTATCCAGTAAAGAGACAGGGAGGCCACATCATGTGAGCCCTTGATCCTCTTGCAGCTCAGCCATGTACAGCACCCTCTGTGGCCTGGAGGAGCCACTGGGGCCAGCGCGGATCAAATTTGATGTGTGTGTCCTGGCTAACAAAAACACTAGAACCTATAGAAAAGGTTAGACTCTGATGTTAAAAAAACAAAACAAAACAATCATTCTTCCAGCTCCCCCCGCCGCACACACACGTATTAATATTCATTCATTGATGTGTGTGCAGAAGTGCATATCTGGATAGAACAAACCAAATGGTAGGAGTGATTATCTCTAGGGGATGGCATGAGGCAAGGGGTGGGGGGTTCTTTTACTTTTATACTCTACCTATGCGTATTTCTTTGGATTTTTGTAGAATGTTTTTATGTCCTTTGTAAAATATAAATGGTTTTAATTTTTTAAAAGTGGTTTAATCGGTTTAATAACATAAAATAGTACTGCCTATATTAGATTTTAAAGTGCTCTGTGTGTGTGTGTAATCTTTTCTGAGATTGAGATGTCTGCTCTTTTGCTTATATTGGGCTTATTTTTCCATATGTCTGGGTCCTTAGGGAAAAGAGGTTTTCTCCATTACTCTGTGTATGGGAGAAAGGCAGGTGGGAAAGGGAGAGAGGGTTGCTTTTAAGTCAGAGGTAGGAAGTTTATATTCTTCAGTTTGGGTGTGAAACAGAAACCTAAGTACAGTCACAGGATTAGTTTATATACCTGCTGGTTTGTCTGTGTGCAGTTTGTTTGACATTAGTTAATTAGTAGATAAATTAACATTTACTTTACATACTTTATTCTTGGTTTACAACAACGAAGTAAAGAAGTTAACATCCCACATTTCATAGCTGAGGTATTAGATTACTCGCCTGAGGCTACTAACTTTTCCTTGGGTATTTGGCTAAGGCGTGGTAGAGCTGAGATTGTCTGCCTTTAAGTCCTGCACCCTGTGCTCTCCCAGGGGGCCACCTATTTGCATTCCTGTGAGTTGGATGTTGAGCTGATACTATTTTTCTTCTGTGTATTTTGTTCCTGGATCTGTCTGTCCATCTCACTTTAGTCAGTTGCATCTTGGAAACACTATAGTTGATTCCTTGATTATTCCAGTCCCAATCTTCTCTTCTCCATGTTCCTTCTCATCCTTTCTTCATGAAAAGGCAAGTGGTTAGAGAGCAGGAGGCATAGACTCTTAAACCCAGGCGGATCTGGGTGTAAATCCCTCCCTGTCATTTACTAGCTGGGTGAACTTGGATACGTTGCTTTATTTCTCTAAATCCTAGGTTTGTAGTTGGTAAAATAGGGATGGTCGTAGTACCTGCCTCATGAGCAAGTTGTGTTAAATGAGATGATGCATGTAAAGGAAAGGTTTGGCTCAGTAACTCTGCAGAGTAAACACTCACTAAGTTATAGCTGTACTTCTCCACGCAGCAGCTTGCTCTAGAAAGCGCATTAATTTAGGCCAAGGCGTATTTTGGAAATCATCATCTGAGCATGTTTTTTATCTTCCTTCAGTACAAGTAAAGAGAGCACGTCTCAAGATGCTGAAAGTACCTTTTCTTCTGAAGGTTCTCTACACAAGTCTAAGGTGGCGAATCAGCCACTTGCACCTTCCCGATCTTCCATGGAAATGCCCTCACACCCAGCTCCTCGAACGGTCACAGATGAGGAGATAAACTTTGTTAAGACCTGCCTTCAGAGGTGGAGGAGCGAGATTGAGCAAGATATACAAGGTCGGCTCTTGCAATACTTCCCAGTATTGAATACTCTTTGCCTTTTCTGTTTGTTTGAATATGTGGAAGTTGGGTACCTTGGGTACATGTCCTGCCATTGCCATGTATACTGTTGAATTGGGGGGATTGTGACCTCTTTGGTACTTTTTGTTCCCTGTGAGATTGGGTCACACACTTCTGTTTTACAGCCATGAAAAGATTCCCCCCTGGATTCCCTCCTCAAAATTTCTGGGAAATCCTGGGTAGCTTGAACACTCATGACACTTACCTTTGGCTGAGAATTTTCTGCATCTGCTGGTTTTCTTTTCCTGTAGTTTATCTGAACTCTGGCTTCAGTTGACCCAAACTTAGAATTTTGTTTTCCTGAATTACCACTTTTAAAGTCTTTCCTACATGAAGTATGCTTTATTGAAGGTTAATGAAGCAAAGAATATGTGAGTAATGCATGCAGTGTAAAATCGTATTATTCAACATTCTGTTCCGAAAACCCTTCGGCCTCGTTGTCTTGTTGCTCAGACTTCCCCTCCTCCCCTTCTTTCTCCTTTTATCTAGGGAGCAGTAAATAAAGGAATAATACAAATCTAGGTTCTTATTCATAGAAATCTGGCCCTGCCTTTTGTTCTGCCTTCTCCTTTCAGGTCCTGTCCCTGGGACATATATTTTACACCCAAGTTCCCCATTAAGGTCTTTTTCTAGAAACTGTTTTCTCTCTAAGAAATTCTGGTGTGAATTATAAGAGGTGATTTTTTAAAAATCTTAGTGTAGTTATATTAAACTAAAAGCCTTTGTAACCTAAAGCTCCACCCACTTTAAAACTGCATCCTCCTTCGTGGTTCATAGAGTGAAGATGAACTGGTCAGAACCCCAGGTGCGGAGAAGCAGTACTCTTTGCAGAGCTAAAGCTGCCTGGGTGACGTGTAATGAAATCATTTTAACTAAGTATTCTTTTTTTTTTGTGACAGATTTAAAGAACTGTGTTGCAAGCACTACCCAGACTATTGAGCAGATGTACTGTGATCCTCTCCTCCGTCAGGTAGAATGAAAGTTGATGGGAAGGTAGTCAAGGCATGTTCTAATGGTGCTAATGGTAGATACAAAAAGAAAAGTTGATGGTTTTCTTTGAAACTGAATGGAAACTTCCCCGAGATATAAAAATAACTTTAGGAAAGAAATAGCTATTATTCTATATTTTAGGCTAAAAACAAGCAATGTATCTTCTGTCACCAACAGAACCTAAAGTATATTTGTTTTGATTCTGCCACATGGTATTTTTTTCATGTATTTGAAAAGTTTGTCATTAAATATTACTAAAAATTCCTCATAAAATGGTAGTTTAAGTAGTGCAGTGGGGGAAACCTGACCAGGGACTGGTTCCCCATCCTTGCCGAAGTACCATGATCCTTCGTGATCCTTTGTTTAGCAGCGTGCTTTCAAGCTTTGTATCTCTAGTAATTCCAAAAGGGAGGTAGGCAGGGCAGAAATTTTAGTTTCCACATATGTTTTTGTTTAGAGTAACGTTCTGGGCATAGAGGGGAAAGAGGCTCCAGTTAGGGGCCTGCCCTCCGCTGGCTTCCGCGTGAACGATAGGCCGCGGGGGGAGAACTCTGTTTCTAGGGTCGCGTGTGGTTGTGTTGCACGGCAGGAATGCATCCTGTAAATCTTGGCTGTTCCCCATTTTCTCTTTTCTATTATTTAAAAATTTCACCACCAGTAAAAACATGTCAGGGTACTCATTAAATGTAAGTTTACTTTGGTTCGATGGCTGACTTTCTTTCACCAGTACTTACTTGGCACTTAAGCATTGCTCTACTTTCCCCATATTGGGGGGGAAAAAAAGGCTTTTCACATGTTGAAACCAACAAGTATGTCGTTAAAAGGGTCTTCGCCCCCAGATAAGTGGATAACTTGCAAGAAGAAATATAGAGACCACGAGACCGACTAATAATGAAATATGCTAACTTAGATTTTGTTAACAAATAAAATAGGCATAGAACAAGATAGCTGCTAAACTTGTTGTAGGTACCAAGTGTGGTAAACATCTTCTCAACATGAGTAGTCATGGTGAGTTTTTAGATAAACTGAGTTTGGAACTCAGGGGGATAAATAGGTCTCAGTTATCTTTCCTTTTAGATCTATAATCATAGGAGTTTAGAGTTGAAAGGGGCCTCAACGAGGTCATCTAGTTCAGTCGTCCGATTTTGAAGATTCAGGAACCAAGACATAATTAGGAGATTCCAAGGCTGTGTTTTTGTTAGTTCATCTTGAATCAACAAGATGTTTTGATGTGAACCTAACATCAAACACATGTATAAACAGGCAGTTTTCTGATGTCTGATAGTTGGGTATACTTTTGAACTTTAGTAACCTAAGTCTTGTCAGATTATTTTGCTTAACCTGCTACAGGAATTGCTTTGTGATTTGCAGGTGCCTTATCGTTTGCATGCAGTTCTTGTTCATGAAGGACAAGCAAATGCAGGACACTACTGGGCCTATATCTATAATCAGCCCCGACAAGTCTGGCTCAAGTACAACGACATCTCTGTTACCGAGTCTTCCTGGGAAGAACTTGAAAGAGATTCCTATGGGGGCCTGAGAAATGTTAGTGCTTACTGCCTGATGTACATTAACGACAAGCTACCTCACTTCAGTGCAGGTAAAAACACCTTAACAGGAGCCAGGGGTGGGGGAAATCTGTACTGCTCAGGGAAGGGAACAATCTTGTAGTTTAAAATAAAAATTTTAACTCAGATTTATTATAAAGTAATAACGTATTTAAAAAATGCAAATAGTATAAAGGAGACTAAAAAGGAAAAATAAATTTGCTTTCCTACTTCTGTCCTCGAGCCCAACGAGTATCCATTCTTAGGTTTCATGTGTAGTCTTCAAGAAACGTTCTATGCAGAGGCTAGATTTTATCTATCGATATCTCTCCCACACCCAGTTTTTCCCCCCAAAGGGGATATTTTTCCATTCTGTTCTGCCTCTTTTTCATTAATTGTTTTTCTTAGTGATCTCTATATTTTTATAAATAGAACCAACTTATTCTTTTCAACAACTGCATAATAATTCCATTGCATGGAATATGTATATAATCTGTTAAACCAGCCTCCCATTGACAGACTTTTAAATTGCCTCTAGTTTTTTTTCTCTTTTAGTGACATTCTTGCACACACATTTTTACACCCTTTGGAGAATAGCTAGATGTTACAAGTGGATTTGCTTGAACAGTTTCATACTTCTCATAATACTACTGCTAATGCTAAGAGCAATCGTAATTATCATTTATGTTGGTACTTTACTCCTTATTGCACGCTTTCAAACTTTATTTCTCTAATAACTTATAACTCTAAAAGGGAGGTAGGCAGGGCAGGAATTCTTATCACCCACATTTTCCAGCTGAGGTTCTGCACTTGGCTGGAGTCTTATAGCCAGTAAATATTCTGATTCCAGGTTCTGTGCTGTTTTCCATTTATATTACTCTCTCTTTCTTTCTTCCTTTCACATCTGAGATCATGGAAGGCATCTTCTTTTAGTGTTCAAACTTCACTGTGTTGCATAAGTAAGAAAACACATAAGGCATTTTGTCCGGGCAGCAAATGATCTTTCTGATTTGTTAGTGTGTGCTTGAGGGATAAGCGATGGAGGGAATGATCACTTAACGGTAACTGATCTTCATAATTGCATGTTTGCAGTGTGAAAGCAGGAACAGCTGCTCGTGGGAGTTACTGTACAAATAATTGTGCTGGCTGTTGGTGGTATATAGGGGCCTTGTTGTTACACGTATGGCTCATTTTTATATTACAGAAACAGACAAAAAGTGGGAACTGTCATTTGCTTAGTGAAAAGACTAGTTAACATCAACCAGTACGTGGATGTGCTATTCTGCTGTAGGTTTTTATGTTTTGCTTTGGTCACAGGGTTAGAGATGAGATTTAATATGTCCTTGATATCCTTGCCATTTTTCATCATAGCCTTTAATGAACCAGGTATTACTGACCATCTAACCTTTGTATCAGTTTGCTTTCTTATAGCACTTGATTGTGTGAAACTTAAGGCGGTATAAATGTCTTGGAATTCATCTCTAACCATCTTGAGATGGATATTCTTATCAGTAATAGGAGCATTGGTTACACTGATAAAACTATCTACCTTGAAATGTCCATTGGATCTAATGATTTTCTCAATTTCCAAGAAATGTTTGGTTTGTTCTTGCTACTTTGTCACTGATTGGCCTCTACTCCAAATCCTTAGTCATTATCGTCGATTGATTCGTTTAACAAATATTCAATGTGCCTACCTACTGATATGCCAGGCACTGTTACTGGGGTGCTGTGACTGTTGGCCTGATATTCTCAGTACTTCAGATGGATTATGTACGTGTGTATGTATTTTTCATTAGGAGTAAGAAAAAAAGGCAAAGTGTCTTATTTTCTTTCTTTCTGGAAAGGACCTTTGGATTCCTTGAGACCTTTTGCTTGGTGGAACTTCGTTTAAACTCTGTCTTTGTTCTTCCTCAGAGGCGGCCCCGAATGAATTAGATCAGATGTCAGGAGAAGTGGAAGCCCTCTCTGTTGAACTGAAGCATTACATTCAGGAAGATAACTGGAGGTTTGAGCAGGAAGTAGAGGAGTGGGAAGAAGAGCAGTCTTGCAAAATCCCTCAAATGGAGTCTTCCACCAGCTCAGCATCACAGGATTTCTCTCCATCACAAGGTACCTGAGAAGGGCGTCTATGCCGGTGATCTGGTGGGATTCATGCGGCACTCCAGTAGCCAGTCCCGTGCACTTCACCTGAGTGAGCCGTGCCACGGTCTGCACACTGGAGTTCAGATAGAGGTGGTGTCGCACAACCTGACGGCCTAGCCCGTGGCTCTAGACCGTCATTTCTGCTGAGCAGAAGTAAGAGCAGAAAGACTAGCTTCCTGTACTTTCACTCTGTTTAGTTTTTTGCTTATTTCCCAGGTTGCAGGAGAAACTACGTAGGATTAATAGGAAGATTTTATGAAAACTATTCTCCCAAGGTGATCTTCCTAACAGATGGTTGTTTGTAGGAAGGCTTCTTGGCATAAAGAAATATGACAGCATCAGGAGCACATTAAACTTTACAGCATCATCAGTGGCTTCTTGCTAAAGTAGCCATTTCTTTTAGTCACTAGTTTCTAGGGGAAATTTGCATAGGGTTTTTTAAAAAGCTTTGTTGGAAGGTTTGCACGTGAAACTTTGTATCAGTCCTGCTTGCCTTTTACAGAGTGTTCTAGAGGTTACTTCTCATCAGATGCTAATTCCTTTGTGTGGTTCTTTATCAGAGTCTTCAGTCGCCTCTTCCCACGGGGCTCGCTGCTTGTCCTCCGAGCATGCCGTGATCGTGAAGGAGCAGACCGCCCAGGCTATTGCAAACACGGCACGCGCCTACGAGAAGAGTGGTGTGGAAGCAGCGTTGAGTGAGGTGAGAATGGCTTAGAAGCCCAAGTGCAAGAGGGGTGGGCTCTTGGCAATAACGGCCACAGCTTCTCGCATTTCTGTTATCCTGTGCCTGCTGCATTTAACCAATCCCTCTTTATTTCTTCTGTTTTTTTCTTACTCTTTCTCTCCATTCTGCTGCCACAGCTTAAGGAAGCTGAACCCCAGAAGCCCATGTCCCAGGAAACAGACCTTGCAGAGCAGCCCGAGCAGCCCGCACAGGCTCATGACGCAGAGTCTGCTGCCCAGCCTAATGCTGAGGTCTCTGAAGTCGAGATTCCCAGTGTGGGAAGGATTCTGGTTAGATCTGATGCAGATGGATATGATGAGGAGGTACAGAGATGAGTCAGGGTTTAGCTGTCTGTTGTCAGTCTTGTATTTCCTTCTCACGTGACTGAATATAGTTGTGTGAGGTGTTTGGCAATAGTTACTGTTTTCTCATTGACGCAAATAATGGGCGAGAGGGCCTATCTCAGTTACCACTGTACACTGCTGCCAGTATATATCTACCCAGACCTGTCCTTATGAGGGCCGCTGCAGAGTCCAGATGGCTCAGAAAGGCAGAATTTAGTTTTTTGTTTGGTATTATGAGCAAAGAAATTGCCTTTAGGAGTCTTTGTCTTTGGTCATATTAGTCCATTGTGTCTCCTCCAAATATAAAGTTTTCAGTTGTCTAGTGAGCAAAAAAACAGATGTGACTTGAAGGTGTTTTTAATTCTGAAGCTTTAGGGAGAAGCTGTAGAATCCCAGGTTGTTCGTTGTCTGCCGCCTGTACAGTTGTCACCACACACTAACTGTTGGGACTCCTGTCCTCAGGTTTCTCTTTTTTCCTGTGGGGCATTTTTTTTAATCATTGTAAAAGTTTCACTTTGTAAAGTGTTATTTGTGTATCCCCTAGTTTCCAGACTGTTTAAAATGTGCTCTTCATCCTAGTAAAACTCTAAAATACTGGTGTATTTAGGATATACACCCAAATTGTAGAACTCAGTTGGAACTCTCGCCTCAGACACTTCCCCTCTGAGAGTTGTAATTTAACTCGATTCTCTAGCAGCACCGCATCGCAGGTATTTTTAGACATACATCTTTATTCATTGGCTAAATTAGAGAGAATATGTAGGAGTAGCTTGTCTTGGGCAAAGTCTTGACATTGTGCAGAGGGCCAGGGCTGTGAATGTGTGTAGGACCCGGTGTGTGAGCCTTGCCTCGCAGCGGGTTCCAGCCACGGAGCACGCTGCCATGCTTCCCTGCAGCCGACTGTTCACCTTTCTTTCATACAGTCTTCTTTTGAACCTTTCTTCTCTCCTTTTTCTCTCTGTTTTGTGCCCTCTTGTGGTAGGTGATGCTGAGCCCTGCCATGCAAGGGGTCATCCTGGCCATAGCCAAAGCCCGTCAGACCTTTGACCGAGATGGGTCTGAAGCTGGGCTTATTAAGGTATCTCTGTTTTTTGAATTCTCATCCTTATACCACAGGTGTCATAATACGGGGCAGTAATTTCCTTAGATGCTAAAAAACGGGATTAAAAGGTTTTCATCGAAGTAAAACATAGAACTTCCTTTCCTGCCCAGCTAATGACCCACCCACCTCACAGCACTGATGGCTTCTCCTCTCTTGGCACTGAGGCGGCTTTGGTGTTCTGTGTTACACCTGGCCTGGAGGGCTTGTTATTGTTCTTAGGAACCGTCTGTTCATAAAGCTGTGAATGGGACCTTGCCTTTGTAATTTGGGGGCCATAATATAAGAATGAAGGCCATGCTTTTTAAGGTACTTGAATAAAATGTAAGGTACTCGAAGAAATTGCATTCATGTGGATTTTTAAATTTCAGGTCCTTGGTACTCAAGGATATGCCTGAAACAATTAAAACTAAGTATTTGTTTTTCTGAGAACTTTATGAGGAAGATGAGTTTCTTGTGAGTACAGTATGTCTTTGGTGCCAGAGGAGTTTTATCCTTATGAAATGAAAGAAACTTTCAGATTCCATAGTTGCCTCTGTCATGTCTCAGTAAGAAGGACTTCTCAGAAGTCTTCTTAGAGTGATGAAAACCTCTGTAGCGCTTAGGCGTCAGTTTCTGTGTGTAGAAGGTCACAGTGTGCGCTCTTCTAACCACCGATTCTGTCTTCAACAGGCATTCCATGAAGAGTACTCCAGGCTCTATCAGCTCGCCAAAGAGACCCCCACCTCTCACAGTGATCCTCGACTCCAGCATGTGCTTGTCTACTTCTTCCAGAACGAAGCGCCGAAAAGGGTAGTAGAGCGGACGCTTCTGGAACAATTTGCAGACAAAAATCTGAGCTATGATGAAAGGTGAGGAGGGGCTGCCTCGGTGAACCACCCTTCCTTCTGGGTCTGGCTTGACTCACTCCTCTGAAGGGGGAGCTTTCATTGCTTTCTGAACTTTGTTCACAGGTCAATCAGTATTATGAAAGTGGCTCAAGCGAAATTGAAGGAGATTGGTCCAGATGACATGAATATGGAGGAGTACAAGGTGAGATCTTCTCTTTACATCTACAAAGCAAACACATTAAGGCCAGACCAACAATTTTATGTTATCACAGACTGACCATCCACCGCCCAGCCCCCAAAGAAAGCTGGATGAGAATGAATGAATGATCTTTTCTTACCCTTAGAATGGCCAGTTTCTTTATTCCATTGTTGTGTTAGACTTAATCAGCACTTCATTTCTCTTAAATACCCACTTTAGCCCTGTTCTGGGCAATAAAATTCTTGAATTCATGGCTTTGGTTTGCTTTAAATAATTTAGTTCTCTAACATTTCTATATCTGAAATTAGATTCTTACACATTAAAATGCATGCATGACTACAGATTTTCAAAAAAGGCATCGTGTTGTAGGAAAGACACTGTCCTGTGCCACCTAAAGTATGTCACCACCCCCACTGAGCTTAGTGTTGTTCCGTGAGGTTGGAATGGCCGTGTCCCTCCGTCTTCCGTCATCTGGATGGTTTTGTCAGAACTCGGGAGGCCGTTCATTTATACCAGAACTGAATGACTTTGACGTGGGTATTGGAAATTAAGATCCTAAATTCTAAAGCTCATATGAAATGAGTATTTCTGTTCCTTGGTGGAAGGAGCAGGACATGGAAAGTTAAGGTCAACGGTAGACGTTAATTCTAAACGTCGAATACTTTATTATCTGAAAGCCTTTGTGTCTCCTGTTTCTGTGCCTGGCCATATGTGCTCGGTGAGTATCTGTACTGAGTTTGCAGTTTACTGTGGCGGGACGGGTACAAGTAGTGGTGGTCATAATCGTGAATGGCTGTCATTCCTTTTCAGAAGTGGCATGAAGATTACAGTTTGTTTCGAAAGGTATCTGTGTATCTCCTGACAGGCCTGGAACTCTATCAGAAAGGAAAGTAAGTTGGCCTCTTATGTCACTGAGATTACTGGTCAGGACACTTATTTATTGATGCCTACCAGGAATTCAGAAGACCACAGTACCTTCACCCCCCTTCTCACATGTACCCTGTGCCTCTACCTTTTTCCAGTGTTTCACTTCACTTTTGCTCTGAACATCACACATGTTTTTTTCATCCTTTACATAATGATAGATTTCTTAGTTGAGAGATATAATGGCCAGGTTTTCTTTGTGAGAAGTGGAAATGAACTCAGAAAGTGAATTTTAAGAGTTGGCGTGGACCTTAGTGAGCCTCTCGTCCACTTCTTTGTTTTAGAGTTGGGAGAAACAGAAGCCCGGGGAAGTTCCATGATTTGCCTTGGGTTTCTCGGCCAGTTTGCAGAGGAGCTGAGACTGGCTGTGGTCTTTGGCCCTCAGGCTTTTCCCAGTGCTCCATGCTGCCTCCATCATTAAGACTTTTCCATCATTTCAGCCAGTTGCATTCTTGTATTAGGGAACAGTGGGGACTAAGCCCTGGATTTGACGAAGGAGCGCTGAGCTGTTTTTTATCTACCACTTTCTAAGGTACCAAGAGGCGCTTTCCTACCTGGTGTACGCCTACCAGAGCAATGCCGCTCTGCTGGTGAAGGGGCCCCGGCGGGGCGTGAAAGAGTCGGTGATCGCTTTATACCGAAGAAAATGCCTTCTGGTTTGTACTGGTTGTAAAGCCTTACGACTTTTTAATTATTCTGTTGTGTTTACCTCTGCTCCTTGAAGCCGTGAAGAAATACAACTTAAAAATATCTCCAACAGGTTTTAGATTTTTCCAAACTCTGAAGAGTAGTTTTACATGGAAACAAATTATTTTAAGTTACTGCAGTGAATGTCATTCTTCTTCCACCCCTGATAGAAGTTAGGTGAGAATCACTTATCCCCATTTCGGTGCCCTTTCTATGTACTGCATTATAGCTTTTATCACGTGGCCTGTCTACTAGATTGTGAGTTCCTGAGCGCAGATCGTCTTCTTATTCAGCTGTTTCCTCAGTGTCTGGCCCAGAGTAAACATGTAAGAAATGTGTGTTTTTCCTGTGTTCCCTGCGAAGCTAGTAGATGAGAGTTCTAGTGACTTCTAAAGAGATGCCAGTTTTGTTTTTTAAAGGTATGAACCATCAGGATTGGTCCTGCCATTCTGTTAATATCCTCATCATACACCACTGGAGATCCGTCCTGACCTATTTTGCATTTGGCCGCCATGTGGGAAGGAGACCCATATCCCCTCCGCCTCCCCAGGGGTTCCTGCAGGTGCTTGTCCTTCAGAAACTACAGAGGCGGCTTTCCCAGACCCACGTGCTTGCCTTTAGCCTCTCTGGCACCCGGCAGGATCACCCTTCTCGGGAGGAGTCAGGCCAGCATTTCTCCCACTGCTTCTGTTAATACCAAGTGGAGGGGATTAAGTCATGACATGTATTTATCTCAGAAGCTTCATTTTCTGATTAGACTTGGGTTCCTGCATCAGTTATAGGTATGGCAGGGCACTTCGAAGCTAAAAAAAGGGCCTTGTAGATTTGATGGACTTAAATTTTAGTAAAGACATGATTTTATTTTTTAAATCACCAAACACAGATGACATTTTGAATGTCCCACTCAGCTGCCACAGGGAGACAGTACTAGGGATTTAGATTCTTTCCACCTCTGGCTCTCAACCCCCAGTGTGCGTCAGAATCGCCTAAGGAGCTTTCACATGGTTGGGAGCAGGCGTCTCCCCAGACAGTTAAACCAGAGTCTCCTGGGGCGGCGCCTGGGCGCCAGCTTGCCTTCTGCAGGTGATTCTGATGTTCAGTGAAGATTGAGAACCATTGAATAGGCCTTTTGATAGAAGCGGCTGTTAAATATGACCTTGACTTGTACGTTTAGGCCACTGGGTCAGAGACTTTGCTGCATTCGGATCACCTTGGGAGCCTTAAAAAAAAAAAATCCCAGCGCCCAGGTCACCCCAAATGCCAGTCAGTCAGCTTGCTTGGGTTGGGGCATCGGTAGTTTTTCGAGATCCCCAGGCATTTCCAGTGTACAGTGAAGTTTGGGAAGTGCTTGTTTAGGCTCTTCTAAAATAGATATTTATCTTCTCTTTCAGACTTTTATTTTTGTTCACTCTGTTTCTTATCTATAGGAGCTGAATGCCAAAGCGGCTTCTCTCTTTGAAACAAATGATGAGCACTCTGTAACAGAGGGTATTAATGTGATGAATGAGTTGATCATTCCCTGCATTCACCTTATCATTAATAACGACATCTCCAAGGATGACTTGGATGCCATTGAGATCATGAGAAACCACTGGTGCTCTTACCTTGGGCAAGATATTGCAGGTGTGTTGTTGTTGCCGCTTCCGATAATTTCTAAGGCCCTTGAGAATTCTAGAAATCGCAGTGGACTCAGTTTGTAGTACCAGTTGTCAAACCATTTTAAGGCACTGGAATCCCCTAGAATATACAGGAGTCAAAAGTACATCTACTCTATTGAAACAAGGAATGGGAGCCTGCACCCCTGTCCTTCTTAGCCTCCCCTTACCTCCTCTGTGGCTGCTGAATCACCTCCACATCCAGCCAGCCAGCTCTGTTTGAAATAAATCACTGCTCTCCAGGAATGTCAGACTGTTGTTACTTTTTCATCTGCCGAAATCTGAACTTTAATTTTATAGTTTAAAAATAAAAATCTATGTATGCAGCTTGATTACCTGTTGGTGCCATAATTAAATTTTCCTGTGACTTGAAGTTGCAAGACATGAACATATTATTAACTATGATGCTTTCAAGGTTAACAAAGTAGTAAATGGAACATCTGTGCATGTCCAAAGCATTTTGGAGAGGGAGCCTAAAACTAGGTATTTTTAGGTGAGTTTGATAGATTTAGAAAGTTGCTATGTATCCTAATACGAATCCTCTTTGTTAGTTTCTCACTGATGTAGAGATATTCTATTGACCTGTTAAAGTGTTCAAGTTTATAATATGTATTGAAAAATTCTATAATAATTAGTAGCTATGAATTTTGTTTTAATGTCTTCAGTTTTTATTTAGACCATGTGTGATATATAGCTTTACATAATGCTGTGTACATGCTGGTATATTTTAATTACTTGAAGGAAAAGAGCAGCATTATGTTTATGGCAGTAGTATACTTACGGTACATTATATCTATGGTACTTTCTCAAATTTTAAAGGATGACTTATTGGAAGACGTGTCCATAATGAAGTGAATATATAGTGTTGTTCTGCCACACGTCACATGGCTTAAAACAGTGACCTAAAACTTTGGTATATTTGGCAAATAGGTCTTTGCTACTGGTTTGGCCTGAAGGAATCATCATTTGTCATTAGCTGACCGGAACAATGCTTTAACCTTTCAGGTTGGGTGATAGCTATATGAAAGACCTTCTCCTATCATTGCAGACTTAGTTTTTACTCAGAGGTTTATTTAGCTGTAAAGTAACCATCCATTTTTCCTCCACAGAAAATCTGCAGCTGTGCTTAGGGGAGTTTCTACCCAGACTTCTAGATCCTTCTGCAGAAATCATTGTCTTAAAGGAGCCTCCAACTATTCGACCCAATTCGCCCTATGACCTTTGTAGCAGGTTTGCAGCTGTCATGGAGTCAATTCAAGGAGTGTCAACTGTGACAGTGAAATAAGCCCCCACGTGTTCAAGTCCCATCCTGGTCTTTGGTTGACTGCCTGTTGCACAGAAGTCTGTTGTCACAGTGTTTACCTTGGAAAGGGAATTAGGTGGAAAAGTAAGATTCAGATCCAGACCCCAACCATACTGTGTATGTAAAGAAGGACTGAAAATAAAATTGCACTTTTTAGGTACAGAATCATAAAAGCGATTTCACCAAAAAAGGCAGGAACCAGTGTATTAAGGTATTGATTTATGGCAGAAGACCTGAAATGCCTCTTGTACCTACAGGCGTGCTTGGGCTTTTCTAAGCCTCTTGACACTTTTAAAATTATCCTTCAGGCATAAGTATTTTTGACAGCAGAGTAGAAGGATGATTCATCAGAACCTGAACCATATGAACAGCTACTAGCTATTTTATCAAATACAGATGACATTAAAAAATTCTTAACTGCAAGAGAGGAGAAGTATACACCTTGCCTGGCTCTTGACAGGAGATGACAAAATAGGTTGTTGATGAACCACTACCCTTTCACACGTGGGTAGAACATAATTATGGTCATGCATGTGGCAGTAAGATGTTCAAAAGTCAAAAGAATGCTGCCTCTCCTTTCTTTCTTCTCTCTCTTTTATTTTATATTTTTAAATAAACCAGAAAACCTCATACTCAGTCCTGAGTGAAAGAAAGGAAAGCATTAAGGACTTCAGACGGAGTAACAGTGCTGTGGAACTTGACTAAAGATCACGTTCTCATAGTTAACCATTTAGGTAAAATTTTCTAGTGTCTGAAAATTGTCAAAACCCATGTCTAAGGCTGCTGCTGGCCCAGAAGAACATTTTGATGCCCCTCCCCTTTTTTGCTTTTAAAAAATGAGGGATGTGGGTTTGTAAAAAGAAAAAAAAAAATTCTATATATATATATGTATATGTATATGTAGAGAGAGAAATATCCCCTGTTGATCATTTTTAAAAGGCTCCAAATTGGGTATCCAAATTTTAAGATTAGCGAGGGAATCGTGGGAGGGAAAAACGCTTACTACAACAATGCAGATTTTATAAATGTGCAATAAAAGTATTTGTTTTACCTTTGGTGTGCAGTATGGCCTTCATTTAAATATATATTTTCTATTTTGGAAATAGATGGACTCAATAAGCATTTCTCATGTTTCAGTTTTCCTTCTTGAAAAGAAAAAGGCAGATTAGAGCGTTGAGAAGCTTGATGGGGATGAAAGGCAGTGGTCACTTCTTGAGCAGCACCTAGTGGTGACTGATCTCTTTTCATCTCATTTGCTAGTTGCATTGCATGTAAGTGTATCCACTTGGTAATTTTTCTGATTTAGAAGGCAAAAAAATTATTTTCTTGAAACCAAATTCTTATATTTTGGTTAAATTAATGGTTAGGCCATCTTTTACAGTTATTCAGAGGTGCTTTTGTGTTTTAAAGCTCACTGCAAAGATCTGTTTCATGGGAAATTGATCAATTTTCTTACCCATTGATTACCTTTTACTATTTAAAATTCTAGGCAGTAGCACCATTTGCCCTCCGCTTTTAAATACCTGTCATTACTGATTACTGTGCACAGTTATATAACAACCCTGGGATGAAAATGGGGACTGTGGTTTGCCCAAGGTCATAGGTGTCCTAAGTAGTGGAGCCAGGACACTAACCCTTGGTGTGTCTCACTTCATAGCCTGTGCTATTAACAACTGCTTGACTGCCCTTGGAAGTCTTGTAAAATCTTTTGCTTTGTACCTTTCCACATTAGTTATTTCCTGATGAGCTTTTGAGAACCTGCAGTTGGTGAAGAAAGGAACAGCTGTACATCTGTAGTGTTGGATCCACTCAGACCACCATGGCGGGTACTGGTGCTGCCTTAGGTACAGCTTAGTTTCTTTCAGGGTGAGCAAACTGTCTCAAGCTAAGAATGGCTTTACTTATTTAAAGGGTTGTGAAAAAGAAGGATGAGGGGAAGGGATATTGGGGGTTGGGTGGGAGAAAGAACCAGTGTGACCCTTAATCAGAAATGACTTCAAGAGTTTGGGGGCTTCCCTGGTGGCGCAGTGGTTGAGAGTCCGCCTGCCGATGCAGGGTACACGGGTTCGTGCCCCGGTCTGGGAAGATCCCACATGCCGCGGAGCGGCTGGGCCCGTGAGCCATGGCCGCTGAGCCTGCGGCATCCGGAGCCTGTGCTCCGCAGCGGGAGAGGCCAAAAAAAAAAAAAAAAAAAGAGTTTGGGCAGGGCGCTTGACCTCAGCATAAATTCCCTGGAGACTGGGTTTAGCCTTTCCCTGGTTAACTGGAATTGCAATCCTTTTCCATTGGGGTTTGTTGATTAGCTCTTTCAAGAACTATGGAGCATATAAACTCATTGTTACCCTACCCACTTCAAGAAAGAGGTGTGAAGTGGATACATAGAACAATTTAAACAATGAATGAAGAAGAGGCAAGGGTTGAATGAAGGGCTGGGATGTAGCAGGGATAGGATAGAAGGGAGAATTAACTGCAGCTGTAGTTAACTCATTTTCCTTGCTCGGTTTATTATATTTCATTGAATGAATATACCTTACAGGTTATTATGCTAATTGTCATTTGAGTGTTTCCAGTTTTTGGCTGCTACCCATAATGCTACCAGGAACGTTCATGTACATGTCTTTTGATGCGCCCAAGAATGTGTTTCTGTTGGTATGTAATTCTGAGTGGAATTACTGGATCATTAGAATATATGGGTCATAGGAATAGGTAGATGTATCTTTATTAGGTTCTACCAGACAGCTTTCTGAAGCGGTTATACCAATTTAAACTCCTACCAGCAGTTTATAAGAGTTCCAGTTGCCCCATATCCTTGTCAAGATTTGATTTTGTCAGTATTTTTAATATAGCCATTCTGGTAGACTTGTGATGATATCATTTTGATTTGCACTTCCCTGTGTCAGCTGAAGAAAAATGCACAACCTACAAGTTGCAAGTTATGTTTTATTTAGGGACCTTACTGAGGACTGTGGCCCTGGAGGCATCCTCTCAGATAGCTCTGAGGAACTGTTCCAAAGAGGTAAGGGAGGGAAAAACATGTAGTTGAACATTAAAAAGACTACTACTAATCTCAAAACCACCAGACATTTCAAGTTAATGATTTTAGTGCCTTTCTACCTGTGAGAAGATGCGAGCCTCATTGAAATTATTCCTTAGACATGCATCTTAACTATCTAGGGCCAGTATCCTGTTTTTCTCTGTCCTGAATTCCCCTCAGGGTGCACCATCAGGGCTGGCTGCAGTGGCTGATGACTTGATGGTGGGCAACATTCCTCTTTTTCCTGGGATGGCAGGCAACATTCTTTTGTCCACATCTGTGTCCTAAGGATGTCCAGCATCTCTTAATATACTTATTGGCCTTTGGCTATTCTCTTTTTTGAAATACGTATTTAAGTCTTTTGCCCACTGTGTTTTTTCTTTTCCTTAGTGATTTTTAGGAGTTTTTTGAAAATATAGTCCAGTTATGGAAACTTTTTTGGTTGTATGCATTGCCTATATCTTCTCCCACTCTGGCTTTTCATTTGATGTCTTTGGGTGAAAACAAGTTTTTAATGTTAAGGTTGTCTAGTTTATCAGTCTTTTCCTTCATGGTTAGTGCTACTGTGCCCTATTGAGGAAATTCTTTCCAAGGTCATAAAGATATTCTGTGTTATCTTCCAGAAGTGTCACTGTTTTACCCTTCACATTTAGTGGACTGACACTCACCATTTATTGGAAACATTTTGTGTTTCCCAGTGCTATGCCTTTGTCATAAGGTGTCTATGTAGGGTTCTGCTTCTGGGCTCTTTTGTCTGTTCTATTGGCCTGTTTGTCTGCTTGTACCAATATCACATTGTCCTAATTAGTGTAGCTTTATAAGTCTTGACATCTGGTACAATAAATTGTCCAGTTTTGGACATCTTCAATATCATCTTGGCTATTCTTGATTTTTTTTATATTTCCATATAAACTTTAGAATCCGTTTGTCAATTTCACACATGCATACACAAATCTCCAGGGATTTTGATGTGGTTTATAGTGACTATAGATAATTTGAAGAGAATTGACATCTGATCTATGAACATTGTATATACTTTTTATTTAGGTTTTCCTCAGATTCTGCATAAAGGTCTTCCAGCTCTTTCATGAGATTTATTCCTGGATCTTTGATGTTTTTCAACCTATTGTAAATGCTGTGATTTTTTAAAATTCCATTTTTAATTGTTTGTTGCTGACATCTAGAAACAAATTAATGTTTTTATCTCAAGCCTGTAAGAATTACTTATTAATTGAAATAGTTTATCAGGTTTTTTTTTTAGATCTTCTGTATACGCTATGTTATCTCTGAATGATGACTTTTATTTCAGGTCCTTACAACGTTTCTTTTTCTTGACTGGTCACACTAGGACCTCTGGTATAATGCTGAATAGAAGTGGTGATAGTGGGTGTCATTATCCCCCCCCCCCCCATATCAGGGAGAAAGTTTTCAGTATTTCACCATACTGTAGGCTTTTTATAAATTCCGTTTATTAGATAAAGAAAGATTCCTTTTATTCTGAGTTTGAGTTTATTTTACATTATGAATGGGTGTTGAAATTTATCAAATGCTTTTTCTTTATCTATTGAAATGATTACATGGGTCTTTTCCTTTACTCTGTTCATGTGTGAATTACATTTAGTAATTTTAAACCAACCATGTTGCCAGAAGAAACTGAATTTGATCGTGATAGATTTTTTATATGCATATGGAATTTTTTCATATTCTATTCAGGACTTTTGCATGTATATTCATGAGAGAGATTGGCCTTTAATTTTCTTTTCTTGTAATGTTCTTATCAAAGTTTTGGTGTAGATTATTCTGGCCTTATTGCATGAGTTGGGATGTTCTCTCATTTTCTATGCTCTGAAAGAGTTTGTATAAGATAGGATTATTTCTTCCTTAATTTCTGGCAGAATTCATTGTTGAAGCCATCTGATCCCAGAGTTGTTTTTTTGTGTGTTTTGAAAAGATGCTTTTAATTATAGATTCAGCTTCTTTTATACATTTAGGGTTTTCAGACTTTTTTTGGTTACTCCTTGTGTCAGTTTTGGAAAATTATTAGAAATTTGTCCAAAAAAAGAGAAATATGTCCATTTCGTCTAAAATTTAAAATTTACTTGGCAAAAAGTTTATAATAACGCCTCGGGCCTCCCTGGTGGCGCAGTGGTTGAGAGTCCGCCTGCCGATGCAGGGGATACGGGTTCGTGCCCCGGTCCGGGAGGATCCCACATGCCGCGGAGCGGCTGGGCCCGTGAGCCATGGGCGCTGAGCTTGCGCATCCGGCAACGGGAAAGGCCACGACAGTGAGAGGCCCACATATCGCAAAAAAAAAAAAAAAAAAATAACGCCTCGTGTGTGTGTGTGTGTGTGTGTGTGTGTGTGTTTAATGGCTCCAGGATCTTAGTAATGTCCCCCTTTTCATTACTGATACTGGGTGGCACGTATCTTCTTTTGTTTTTGGTTAGTATTTCCAGAGGTTTATTGGTCTTCTCAAACAACTTTATTTTGTTTTTATTTATTTTTCTCTTTTGTAAGTTTTTTCCTGCCTTTCTATTTATTTATTTTTGGCCATGCCATGAGGCTTGTGGGATCTTAGTTCCCCGACCAGGGATCGAACCCGTGCCCCCTGTAGTGGAAGCACAGAGTGTAACCACTGGACCTCCAGGGAATTCCCTTTTCTACCTTTTTAATTCAGAGCTCTTCAGCAATGATTCCTAACCCTGGTCACCAATCCAGAATCAGCTGTCACTTTAAAAATCCCGGTTGCCAAGGCCTCAACCCTGCAGATATGGACTAATTAGACTTCCCTGGACCC